AAAATTTTGCAGAAATGTTTAAAGAGGGCGTTTTTTAAACGCAGTCAGAAGTAGGGGAGTTAAGTCATCTTGCGTATCCACCAGTTTACTCTTTGTTTAAAACCTATCTAACTTTAATCTAACCACAGTTTTTTTTTAATTCTGGTAAGGAAGTACATTTTTTATATCAACGAGCTCATAAAATTAAATAGCAACACACTGTGCTTGTGCGTTCGTGAGGAAATATAGTCTAGAATAATAAAATATTTCTATGTTAAATTTCATAAAAGAAAAAATCAAAATATATTGAATATTTATTAAGCCGTTAAGGTAGCAAAAATATGCTATTACAATAAATTAGATGTTTATGAAAGTATGTATAACATTAAAATCACTGTCTTAAAGGTTATAAAATACATTTTTACTTTACTCTGCGATTTTAATTATTAAAAGAAAATAATATTAATCCATTTTATAATTCAATACTTAATATTAAATTGATTAAAATGTTATTTTAAATAATTTTAATAAGTATTATCGCTGCTTTTTTTAACATTGAAAAGCTAGGCTATGTCCAAAATACATTGTTTATTTGGTCTCACACAAACTGCTATATCCATTTATTTGATGTAGATTTATAATGTGATCATTTGTAAATTTAAGACTTCTGTTACACATTTTTAACGATATTTGATGTTGCAATTAATCCATGTTGAGTCTTTACTAAAATAATTTATACAATCATCCTTAATTTGTATTCCATCAGTGTTATTGTTAGTGAATGTCCGGTATTTGTATATTATACATACGTAATTTATTATTGTTATACTAAATATCTTCTAACATGTTATACAGAGTGATTTAACGCATGCTTGCTACCTACCTGATAAATCGCTCTGTATATTATAATATTACAAACCATCAATCAGTGTTGAATAGTTATCCATACATCTATCAGAATAAAATAAGTTAATATCACGGTTAAAGAACTTTGTACATTTTTTAACAATTTTTTAAGAATAGTCATATTGTAAAATTAATTGTTAGGAGTTCTACACGTCTTATTCATTTTCAATAAGATTGGGATAAGAAAAAACTTATTGCCTTTTACTTTTTAGTTTGAGTGCGATACTGAAAAATCGAGAACTCTCAAAACATCCGTCGCCAATGTTTAACTCTGATAATGTTAAGCCCAAATATATATTTGTGTGACACGTTCACATACCACGATAATACTATTATTATGGTCATTATTGTTTTATCATGGCTAGAAACACACGTCTACGGTATATATATATATAATCGTGTACAAAAAAAAAAAAAACGTACTAGGTAATAGGTAACCGTTTCCCGTTTATCATCGTTTCGTAATACTTTAATTCAAATCAAATGTTTAATGATATGATGCCGCGCGCTTAGTTTTATTACAAAAAACGTGCACATAATAATATCGTGTTATATAGACCGTGTGAACCCTGTCCGAATGTGATGACAAATACGTGTTTGAATCATGATTGCTGCACAGAGTTTCCGGGTGTGATGTTTTTAAAAACGACCAGAGGTAACAGTGGAAGACGTTTAACAGCTAGAAGTTTATTAAATAGGAGTTAAAATTAAAATACTACCTTATAAGTTATAACCAAATAGGTGTAAATAGATAAGGGCGTAAGGCTTTAAAAGTTCTAATAATAATAAAAATAAATATTGTTTCGGAAATAAATAAAAATATATTAAACGCGAATGCGAATTTAAGTAGATGCTTAATTACTATACTCTACCTATAATTACTACGAAGAAATAGTAATTTTCTATAGGTAAGTATTCTTGCAATCGTTATTCTTACGTAATATATTGTTACGTTTAGATTTCACGAGCGTGAGCCATGCGCATCCAGAAAACACATTCTATTTTATAAAGGCAAGCGCGTACTGAGAAAACTCCTAACTCTGTTTATTTAAAGAGTTATTCGAATTTATTTTAAATATATCGTTCGCATACCTACGATTTAATTCGACCAATGTCGCATGTACTCATTCGTTGAAAAAAAATACCGCATTTAAGATGAAAACGTATAACGAATAACAATAATTGTCATTGTAATAATAATTTATAATATTATTATATTATGTTGTACATTTTTCCGCTATATATTACGTAACCGTACGTTAAGTTATTAACGATGAGTCACAAAAGCTTACTGACTGGCAACGCGAAGTCGTCATAATAATTTGGTTTGCATTCAGAGTTTTTTGTGTGGGTTTCACGAGAAAATGTATTTTGAGTGCATATTACATTGTACTTAAATACTTTGCGTACGATATGCGTGTTTCATATTTAGATACTATTATATTATTATTTTTATATACGGAGTGTTAGGTTTTGTTTTGGAATGTTTTTCACTTATTCAGTTTGATTATATTTCCATGTGAATGATTCTGGTCTCGCACAATACCGTCTTAATGTATTTTTTTTTTTTACCAATTTTTTTTTTTTAAACATGTCCTGGTGATTTACTAATGGATTACTTTTCCTTTATTAAACTTTATCTTTTTTAAACGATCCATACTCTGACGTGCACTATACTCGTGTAATATATTGACGTACCTATTATGATGCATTTTATTTGTATGGCAAATAACGATGTTTTAGAACTTATGAGAATCGTCGAGTTTTCAATATTATAATACATATGATATTTTATCCAATATCACCATTCGATCGTATACAACACGGTGAAAACAGATTCGATCAACTCCAATTCTCATTCGTATAATATTAACAATGTAAATGCACGTATAATTATAATTTTTTTTTTTTACGAAAATACTGTTTCTTCATGATTTATATTATTTAACTATTTAAAAAATAATAATTATAAAAACTTGATGAATTAAGAATATAATTCGTGTAAGAGTTATTGCACATTTTTGTAGGGATAACCAGTAATGAAAAAACAATGTAAACGGCATACAAATCACGTCACACGAAATGACAATCGTTTACGAGTGTTAAGTATTTATAGGTACACGTTATTGTTTTACGCCTTAAAGTGGGTGACTGATGAGAGCAGGAGACGACGAGTGCTGGCGGGGTCACGTCCTCGACAGTTTGAAGGGTGGTAGGATGGGTGTGGACGATGTGTGTTTCGAGTGATGTTCGCAACTCTTGGCACGATGGATAACACGTTAAGCAAAATATACAGCACGCGTAAATATGATAATATTATGGTTTGCGCATCGATTTGACCGAATAATATTAATAAATGTCGTCTGTTTGTCGGTTGGTCGGTGGGTGTGCGGGTTAAGAGTATAACGGCCGAATCGTAAACATTTTCTTTTATAAAGATATACACTGTCGAAAAGACAACTTACTGCTGCAGCCGACAACGACGCCATGGGGCAGGACTTCGTCTAGTCTTTCAGGCGCCCGCGAGGGAAACGCTAACGGCAGTTCAGTTATGTAGTCTACATAAGGGTCGCTCTTCGGAGGACGATGGGGATGCGAGAGAATATAAATGGATAGAGATGAGTGAGCGGGTGAGTGGGAAAAAATAAAAACTAAAATATATCTCTCGGTGAAAACTACGTATGTATTTGTATGTGTGTGTGTGTGTGTGTATGTGCAGAAAAGCGGCAACAATAATAAAACTAGGGACGGTGTATAATATACGAAAGAAGAGGGGTGGTTGCGCGGAGAGCAGATTAATCGGTGTTGGCAGTACAAACCGACTCGATGGCGCCGCCGAACGAATATCATATCCGCTCATCCTTTTGCCCGCCGCCACAAATGTACATGATATAACGGTGGAAGTCAATCGGAGACGAGTGGCGTATTTTCTCATGCTATACTTAAAAGGATTTTTCGGAGCGTAAGCGGAAATTATTGTCCTACCGCCGCAACCGACACTATTATAATACTATCGTCGAGAGAATGTCTGTATGGTAATATAATAGTATTATTATTATTATCTTCGCAAACGATTATTATCTGTCAAAATAACGAAAAGAACAGAAACCTATATAAGAGAAAAAAATAACATCATCGGCCGTAGGTAAACCTACTATCATAAATTGTTATTATTATTAGGCGGAAGCATGTTGGGCGGAGTGTATGAGAAACATAGTAAGAAAGAGAGAGAGAGAGTGAACAGAGAAAAAACCACTACAATCTGTATAAATATATATATTATTTTCATAATAATATAATTAAAGCTGTGAATTTATTGCATAAAAGATCTTAAAATATACACAATAAAAATCAGTTAAAAACCTTATAAGTGTATTCTAATCGAAAAAAAAATAAGTAAAAATTAAACTACAAGTAGGTCGGTAGAATTAGAAGATATAAAAATCAATTAAATGTATTATACTTATTTTGAATTTAAGTTATAACTAATTAAGTACAATGTGTGTACAGTGTACAGAACATGTAAAATAAGATAAAAACTTTAAAAAAATATATAAAATGTGTGAATTTACGGAATAATAATAACTAAAAATATCGAAAAAACGACCTAAAAAATTAGTGTTAAAAATGTAAAACGAAAATTCCAAAAATTGAGTTTATTTGTTTATCTAATTCTGCAAATTTCGTACTGAGGAAACTATAATATGCTATAGAGTTTAGGCTATGAAAAAACTAATGCATTTTTGAAAACAAGTTCACGACTCTAGTTATAATATTATTACATATTTTGTGAACATTACAAGAAAAGTTGATTGATCGATCAGATACAATATAATCTATACGTCTAAACGCACATATACGTATGTATATTAACCGACGGGGACTAATACAACGGGTTGACATCGTGGGTGCCTCGTCATGTATAACTTTATACACATTTAACCTTTAACCGCATTATCATATACACAAATTTACGAGTAAAGTATCTAATTATTATTGTTAAACCAATGTAAATATTGTACATATTATTATACATATCTCGCGAATAATACAACATGTTATAATATTATCGAGTAGGTAATTTATTGATTTTGTGCATTATTATGTTGTTACAGGCGTTCAGGCCAGTTGGGACGAGTGGTGGACGTACGACGGAATATCAGGTATCGTTATTATACACTATTATTACAATTATTATTATTATTATTATTATTATTATTATTATGTCATTAGGTACATTTATTATTATCATAACTATAATTGTTATACTGCGATAGCTGTTGACGAAATACGATCGATCGATGTAATCATACGCGGTGGCGAAAACAAATTACATGAAATAAATTACACTGGAAAATTATTGTTATTATCTTATTGATTTGATATTTTGCAGTATAATGTGCACCGTATGACGGCACATAAAATTAGCTTATGAATTTGGTGCGCACAAAGATTTAATTAAGGTTTTTACTGAATTCGACTACTATACTTAATAATCGCGATTCAAACTTGAACAAATTATACGCGCGATCCGAAGACTTTAAGGCAACGTAATACTTTCTAAGTAGTTTTAATTTTAAAATATAGTTGTTTAAAAGTACACTCATTTTATACAGTATTATGTGAAACAAATAACAATGATCAAATTAAAGTTATTGTTACTTGATATAAGTTATAACTCGAATAAATTAAAAACAAAAACAAAAATTTTCATTTAAACATTTTATTATTTATATATTTTATATATTTATTAGATAATATTATATATTTAATTAAAAAAATAACTGCAGTTATTATATACTTCTTAGTTATTACTATCATACCTCAATAAAATATAATAGTATGAGTTCACAAATTAGAAAAAGAACAATGACTATTATTGACAAACTAAAATAATTTTTTATAGTTCATTACTACACGTCTACGCAAAAAATTGTTTTATTATGATACCAAATATTTTTACAAAAGATAATTTGCACATTACCTGTTACCTCAAATACGTTAACATAAAATAAATAAATTAAACGTCAAAAATAATTTTAAAGTGACAAAACTCAAAAAAGTTATATAGGTACAGTAAATAGATTTTAAAAATATAATGTATATAAATTAAATTATACCTACTATCTACACAAAGATGCATCATAATATTATGAACCTATTTCATTTAATATTATACTGTATAATACATTATTAAATTATTATTTTATATACGGTATATTATTATATTAATAATTTATTTTTTAATATCTACTTACTAGAGAAACATATATTTTTGTGATAATTTAATATTCGTTGTATATATGAGTATAATATATTGTATTAGTCATCATATATATTGTTTAAGTAGAAGTTTAGTATAAAATCGTATGTATAATATATATTATTGGCGAAGCGTATGATTTTTGTATTTCTTTTATAATACGAAAACAGACATGTTTGATACTATCTGTGTAAATTAATTTTATTATTTTGTGGGTGTAATATTATTTTTATACAAGTAGTGAAATACAACTTTTGTTATTTCATTCGATATTTTAAATTTTAACCACAAGTCCAAAAAATGTTTTGAGTATCACCTTTCATCTTATCAAAACTTTATTCAGTATTTTATGCTTGACAGTTATAGTTTGATCACATACATTATTTCCTGAAATCATATTCATAAAATGGTTTATTCAAAAAGTACCGTAAATTTTGTACTACAGTGAAGATAATGTGAACATACACGAAAATGTATAGTTTTTTTCATTGTTACACTAAAAAAAAAAAAAAAATAGAAAGGGAATGTATGATGTATAACAGTAATATTTTCATGTTGATTTATAATATGTACTTTATCTCTATTTCAAATAATATGATAATATGGTGTCTAGCAACAAAACTATTTTAAAAGTTATTAGTAAGTATTAAATTTTGGAAGATCACTTTCATCATAATATTATATTAATAATACATAATATACTAATATATTATACAACTATAGCTCATTAAAATGTATTAGTATATTCAATTGTCTAAAAATAAATATAGATTTGAAATATGTTATAATAGTGTATTTATTTAGTCGGTGTATCTCAGTGGCGTAATTATTAGTTGTAGGGGTACATAAGGAAAAATATTTGGTCAACATGCTAAGGCTGTAGAATAGGAATTATTTTCGCGGAAAGAGTATAAATTTAAAGATATTATGTATTAAAATAACATATTTATATTTTATAACATGAAATATGAATAACGTTTTTATCATTTTAATTTTGTTTCAAAAGTTTGTACACTAAAAAAAAAAAAAAAAAATAGCTATGAGAGATATTTGATGCTCAGATTTTTACATGATTACGTTATTATAGGTGCAACTACTAGTATGTGGAATATATTTACTCAGAAAAATAATCGGAAAAATTGTTTAGCATGTGATAACAAAAATAAGAGAAATTAAAATATTTATAGAACAAGTGATTTTCTAATAATCTACCAAACTATAGTATGTATTTTACGAAATATTTAAATGTATAACATACGTAGTTTTTAAAAATATCTATGGTTATAAATAATATACAAATATAAAATATGAACAACAAAAATAAAATGATTTGCATATTCATGTCAAGAAGAACGCTTTAAATATTTCGGAGTATCATTAACAACTGTGCAATAAGTATTAAGTATTAGACTAGGGTTCGTGGATTTATTAAACGCATTTAAAGTTTTCAGCTTTAAATGACGTATCCAATTACGTTCTTGAATACTTCAAAGCAGTTTGCTTATACGCTCGTGAATTTCCCTCATAAATAAACTTTGAAATTATAACGAAGGACTATGATAAGAAAATAATTACTCGATAATTTAATAATGAGTAATTATTCAAAATACACACCAAATAGCAAATATTAATAAGAAAATGTAATATGGGGTACAACAGTTATATTATCTAAAACTTTTTCTAGCACGATTAAATAACATTCCACACCGTTTTTGTTACGGAAAAACATGATATCATTGTCGTCCTGCTGATACGTATTGATTTGATTTTAAGTTTTATTATTCATAAAATTATCAATTGTCAATAGTATAAACGTTATTTTTTCACTTTATTAACGAAAAGTCATAAAAATATCGTAAAAGTGTCAAAACCCTTTTGGTCATTTTAACGACGAAGTTTTAGCTTTTCGTTTGTGTGCAAAATAAATCTTAAATAATTTTTATTCGGTGGTCGGTGAAAACATTAAGAATTTATTACCTCGTTGACGATGGGATCGGTTTGCAATCAGATAATATCAAAAGGAATGTAGTTTTAGATTTTTCCCGCTTCTTCGAGTTATTAAGGTTTGGGGTAGACGATTGTAGTTTTATGTCGAGTTTGTGTATAGTAGAATTTATGCTTGAAGCATAAAACGACTACAATTTTATTATTTTATATGTTTGGCAAATTTACAGAGAAAACATAATTAGAAAAAAAATGCTACGTGACTTGAAGTTTCATTATTTTTATTCCCAGCAATAAAACTTTCCGTGAAATGAAAAAAAAAAAAACAAACAAACAAACAAATAAATAAAATACCGTAGTCGTTTCAGCACTCTACTAGAACTGATTTACTAGAATCGGACTGTAAACTAAGTACTTTCAGTAAATTGCTTGACAATTGTGTACTTGTTACTTTTCTATCCTAAGCATATCTAATGCTTGTCCGACGTGCCGTGTTTCAGGAACGTTAAGGTTTCTAATCACGGCCGTGACTTTTTGTGCTCACTATTGAAAACGTTAAGACGATAGACTGCTATTGTTTTGGGTAAATTCGCTGAATATACTTGTTTTCATTCATTTAGTTTTTCATTTCAGAATTCTGAGTAGGTATCGGGTTAGTTATTTTAAGAGAATTTATTATGACCTATTTTAGAGGTGAACCATTACAAAGACAGTGCCTGCAGCAAGTTTGTCGGTATAAGATTGAACTACGATTGGATTGTTAATCCGCATTCCAAATAAAGTGTAATAGGGTTTATATCCAATTTATAGTTCAATAAAATCCCTGTAGAATTTAGACGTAAAGAAAAATATCACCGTTATTTAGCTTATTTGCGTAAATTTCGGTGTTAGAAAACATACAATTGAGTTTAAAGTAGAGAACTGCTATTAGAAATACTTAAAATAAAAAATTATTTCTTGTGATCATGCATTCATGAACGTGTAAATTTTGGTACTCTACTTTTGGTGTGTTGAATAGTTACTTTAATTCATATAAGTATACATATCTAAAATATATCAATTTTGGATCAAATAAATCGAAAACTTGGCAAAAATACATTTACATTTATACAATACAGAAAATGTATGAATAAAAAGTAACGTATAATTTGTTCACGTTCAAGTACCACAGATTGATAATCCGCTTATATTTTCAATCATGACTGAGAAAAATAGAATACAAGCCAAAGTCAACATACCAACTTATAGATCTGCAAATTATAAACAAACATCCAAGTTGTTATTGTATTTGTTTTTACGAAAAGGATCAGAATACAGCAAATGTATTCCGGTCACACATTGCTGTTATGTTTACAATTGCAATTTTACTTTACGCTGGTGACGCTGTCCGGGATGCATAAAAATCATAAAAAAAAAAAAAAGGAAAAATAAAAATATTACCTTAATATTATTGGCGTGGTGGGAATAATACAAGTTTAAATTGAAATTGTTTTAAATTAATGGCTGGGATCATCTTTGGTATTAATAAAATTGATTTTTTATTAAAGATTATTGAACTTATTATAGGATACTTTCTTATAGCTTCAAACTTTTTTTTTTTATTATTAGAACAAATTAAGTACCTACATAATAATGTTTTAATAACAATTTTAAGTTAAGTCGTAATATATTTTATACCTAGCTATAGCCTATAAAATGTTTTCTAGATATGGGTTATTAAGTTTTGAATCCTTTTTATTTATGAAAGTACATTTGAGATCGTTCGTACTTATAAATATAATTTCTTTGGTACCCACCAGTTTTATATTTAGAAATTATATTTTTAATGACATGCTATTTTTGTTCAGTAATACTTAAAGTCTAAAAAGTAATGTTTTAAAAAAAATTCAATTTCAACTTAAATTACATAATGTTAAATAATAGAAATATTAAGTATTATGTTGATTAATAATGATA